AGATCTGGGAGATTATTCCCCCCTGGGAAATGTCTTGGGCTGGAGGGGCCTGGGTTCCTGGTGTCTGTCTGTGCCTTCCCCTGAGGAGCCCAGGAGTGACCACGGGACCCCTGTCTCCCCTACAGCTGAGGCCATGTGCCCCAAGGTCAGCTCCTCTGAGGAGATGACCTGCAAAGAAGCGCAAGCCTGCATCACCAGCCAGGACTGCTTCGGCAACGCCTGCGGCCGCTCCTGCAGAACCCCCAATCTACAGTAAGGCCCTGCCTGGCCCGGAAGGCCCCGACCTGCCTGAGCACCCACCCCGTCCCACAGCAGGGAGGCCTGGGCCCACCTCTGGCCCAGGGTCTCCAGACTCTGAGCTTCACTCTTGGTAGAGTGGAGCCTTTTGGGTGGAGTCCAGTGGGTGACTCACCAAGGCTTCAGGTGACAAAGGGCTGCCCACCTCTGCCCGCCAGATGCCCAGAACACAAGAAACTGCCCCTGGGTGCAGGCTGCCCTGACACCCAAGGAGTGCAAGGGCCAGAGCCAGTGTGCCAAAGACAATGACTGTACCAACAATGAGAGGTGTTGCTTCGACGGGTGCAACATGCGGTGTATGGGCCCCGACGCAGGTACAAGGGCCGATCCTGCTCTCCCGCTTCCTCCTGCAGGCTTCTGGGCAGGGGTCAGGGCCTGAGGCTCGAGGGGACCTTTGCCACCCGTTGGCCCCCATGGGACTCCACCCCTTGGCAGTGGCCAGGGACAGGGGTGTCTGAGTGAGGGTGGGGGCTGGGTTTGCTCACTACCAGCCAGATCTGTGTACAGCAGTGACCGTGACTGCCTCTCTCCTCGTCCCTACCTGTGTACCCTGCAGAGAACCCCCTGCAGTGAGAGGCCGCCTGGGGTCCCCTGCCTGCCCAGAGTGACCAGCATACAGCTGCTCAGCAAGAACCTCCTCTCCTGGGTCCAGAGAGCGTGTGATGCCTCCCAGCAGCTGCTAATAAAAATCCATTTGGCTTCATGTCTGTCTGTCCCTCTGTCCTGGGATCCTGAAGGAGGGACAGCAAACCTGGGCCTTGCCCCCAGGATCTCGGGGGGCTGGGCAGGTGCACACAGGCCACCCCAAGCCAGGCATGCAGAGAGGGGCACACACTGGTCAGGCTAGAGCACCGGGAGAGGCCACCCTACCCCACTCTGGGTGCTGGCCAGGGCTCCTGCCTCTGACCCCTTCCCAGGGGTGACCAAGCCCTGCAAGGGGTCAGGAGCAGGAGCTAAGCAGCATGAAGAGGACACAGGTGTAGCTCCCAGGTGTGCACAGGGAGACCGGAAGGGGTGTGGATGGACACCATCCGCCATCCACACTGGAACTCCAAAGGGCTGGACATCCTGCAGCCCACACCAGCCTTGATGCTGGTGGCCAGGTTCACATCAGACCCCTTGAGCTAGGGTCTCAGGCTGCAACCGGGGCCATGATGGGAGTGTCCCACAGGGCCCCCAGATTCACTGAAAGTGCTGTGCTGGGACCAGACCCTTTTATCACCAGGGACTCAGATCAGAGGCTGGCAGGAAGGGAACACAGGGTGAGGCCGAGGGGCCAGGGACACAGGACAGTCTGTTCCTGTGGGATGGGGCTGTGCCACCCTATGTCGCCAACCCCAAGCTGCCAGAGCTCCAGCGTCCGGAGTACCGAGAGGTTTCCCCAGCGGGCTTGGTGATCACCTCAAAGGCCATTAGCACCAGAATCATCTGGGCCTCCTCCTTCCCCGATGTCAGGCTGGGGACAGAAGTTCCAACCTTCTGCCCCGGAAGCCAGGGAGGGGCCGCCAGCAGTCAGCTCATCTGCAAAGCGTCACACCACTCACAGAGCCTCGAAGTGGGGACCAGGTTCTGGGACCCCCATTTAGCCACCTACTGTCACGGCTGCACCTGGGTCAGGCTGGGGAGGTTTCCTGTGCATCCAGGTGACGTCAGTGCTCTGCTAGACACAGAACCCAAGGCTGCAGTGGCCTCCAATAGCAGGGACTGAACTGACAGGGGAGCCCCTGGGGCGAGAATGTGGCAGACCCTAGGCCATACACTGAGGTCATTACAAGGTCCTTCACTGTGGTTGCTGGCACGGAGCTCCTAGAACTCGTGACACTGAGTTACCCACCTGGTAATGGAGGCGGCCAGCAGACTCTGCTAACTGCCTTTATCCAGAAGAGAAGCAAACATTTAAGGTCTTAGGACCAGAGAAATTTTTTTATTCAAGACAGGGTCTCCCTATGTAGTTCAGGCTGGCCTCGAATTCACAGCAACTCTCCTGCCTCGGCCTCCTGAATGCTAGGAAAACACGCATGCACCACCACACCTGACTTTCCTTACCTCTACTTTTTTTTCCAGTACCGGAAATTGAACTCAAGACCTTGTACTTGCCAGGCAGCCTCAGTGCCACTGAGCTACATCCCTGTCCCTCTTGCCTCTAATCTTTAACTCTTCTTGTTCTTACAGGCCACAGCCGGGAGCTGGCTGGATCTCAGTTCTCCCTAGAGGCAGGAAGGGCAGATTCCTAAACAGAGGACTCGTGCCCCATCAGGGCAGAGGGGTCACCAGAGGAGTTTGCCAGTCCTATTTTGGCAGAACTAAGGTGGTAACTTAAAATGCCTTAAAGTGGTACTAAGGAGCAGTCAGTGGATTTGATGTGTGCGTGTGTGTGTGTGTGTGTGTGTGCGCTTGCAGAGTCTGGGCCAGCTCTGGGCACAGATGGGACAGGAGACAGGCTCAGTCACTCCACCCAGACCCACTAGACTAGGGACTGAGCCCTGTGACCACCCATGGTTGGGCACCCATGAGGTGGATGTGATTCTGCTGCTTAGGGCTACATGGCTGGCAGCAGAAGGATGTGGGCCATCCAGGGCTCTGGGAAGACACCTGGTGGCCACCTGGCACCTGCCTCTGGGCACAGGCAGGGAGACCAAGTGGCCAGGCAGCTTGGAGGAAGCCCAAAAGCAAAGGCTCCACTGCCCACACCCTGCCCTTCCCTGGCCACAAGGGCCACAGTCTGCCCACTCCCCTGAGGAAATAGTGCCACACCTGGTTGACTCTGGTTTCAGCCCTGCCCCGAACTAAGGCCCAGGGTTCAGGCTAGGGTTAGAGTTAGCCAAATTGCAGCTCAGCCATGAGTCTGGAGTAAACCATTAACTTTCCACCTTGCAGGCTGCAAGGATTACACATACATCCCCAGGAGACCTAATCAGTTACAGCTGTGAGCTTTCAATACCAACAGTCTGGTGTGTCATGCGTGCCATAGGTTCATCACCATGCCTTAGAGAATACCCTGTCCTCCTGTCCCTATGTAATGTCAAGATCCCTTTTAATACAAATATATTTTTTCTGACACCCTTGACCACCAGCCCTAATCTATAAATATTCGTTAACTCTACTCAGGAAAGAACTGTGTTGCTTTTTTCCTTTTTCTTTTTTTTTGGTACCGGGGATCGAACTCAGGACCTTGCGCCTGCAAGGCAGGCACGGGAACCACTGAGCTAAATCCCTGGCCCTTTTTCCTTTCTCTTAAATGTCAGGAACACTAAACCCAATCAAAAGAAGACATCACTGTCTTCGAACATTTGGCCATCCCCAGAACGGAGATGGGCAGACAATAAAACCATCAAGACCTAGTAAAAGCATTCCTGAGATACCGTTCCTATACTTCCCTCCTTACATTAAAATCAAATATAAAGTTCCCTGCTTTTCTCCCACCTGGTGCATTCCCCTCCTGGAATTTGCCTGCTGGTCCCTTAGAGTGTATGAATAAACTCTTAACTTTCCTATATTCCTTGACTGTTAAATTCTTTTTACCACCCACAGCACTGGCCTCTCACACACCGCGCCTCGAGCGCCAGAAACCATGAAAATTTGGGGGGTTGTTTTGCAGCTCCATGGATCAAACCCAGCAACTCACGCCACGATCCAACTACATCCCCTTCCCCAAAAAAGTACACCTATGTTTCTTTTTTTTTTTTTTTTGGAATCGGGGATCGAACTCAGGACCTTGCACTTCTGAGGCAGGCAGCGGAACCACTGAGCTAAATTCCCGGCCCACCTACGTTTCTTTTTAAGAGTTTTATAGCTTTAGCTCTAACATTTAGATTACGGACCCATTTAATTTTTGTATGAAGTGTACGAGTCTCAATCCAACAAGAAAAAACAAAGTAAACCAGATAGGATAATGCGCGCCTATACAGGCCAGCTACCTGGAAGGATAAGACAAGAAGATCGCGAGCTAGAGACAAACCCGAACAATACAGGGATTCTGTCTCTTATTCAAAAATAATAAGCAGTGGTTCCGCCGCCTGCCTCGCAAGCGCAAGGTCTTGAGTTCGATCCCCGGTACCAAAAATAAAAATAATAAGCAGGCGTGACGGCTAGGAGTGGAGTTCGCTAGTTTGAAGGACCTGAGGTCAATCCCTGGTGCCGCAATAAAAGGCCGTCTCTCGTTCTCCCTCCCTAAAGGTACGAGACACCGGCCGGAGAGGATCCAACCCTTCCAGCTCCCCCTTCCGGGCTCTTTATCTTTTCTCCTTCCTATCTCTAAGTTTTACATCATCCGTTTCTCACTGCACTTCCCAGCATGCCGCATGAGCGTTCAGCAAAGGGTAACTGGAAAAAGAAAGGCAAGAGTCGCTTTCGGCCAGGGGGCGCGGCAAGCTTCGCTTCCCTTGGCGCTCTGATGACGTACGAGCGCGCCTCGCTGCCGGCGTCGCTACGCATACGTACGCGCGCACCTCCCCTAGCCCCGTGGGTTCGGGACGTCTTGGGAGACATATGGAGGTCACTGGCGTCGCTCGGGGCGTAGGTCTCGCACCCGGGTAGAAAGATCTGCTGAGCGTGGGTACCGAGGACGCGGACGTAGGGGTAGAAGGAGGAGAAGTGAGGGCGGGTAGGGCAGCGGGCCCAGAAGAGGTGGGGCGGGGGGGGGGGATCTGGGCCCGGTGGGCCCTGAGTGTGGGTCTCGAGGGCCGCCTACTGCGCACGCGCTACTTTTTGCTGCCGTGTCCCCGAGACCCGGCCTGCGAGGCGCTGCCCGCGACGATCCTAGATGCCTCCAGCCAGTCGGCGGTTTTCTCTCTGCATTAGGACCAGACTGACTTGCGGGCTGATATTTGCCTAAACCCAAGTCTAGCTCTTATTCTTAAGTTTTCTTTTGTAAGTTACTCTTAAAACCGGACAGGTTTTCCAACGTTTCCCTACTGTTCCAAGGCCCAGGAAGTGTTGGGTTAGGACAGATGTCCCTTTAGATGGACTGAACTTTTGGTTTTAGTTTTGGGCTTCTTTGGTACCGATCGAACTCGGATCCTTGCACTTGCGAGGCAGGCGGCGGATAGATGGACTAAGCTTTTTATTATAGTCGCGGTAATCTCATATTAAAAAAAAAAAAAGTGTCGGCCATATACCAACTTCCGGAAATAGATGAAAATTAAAGGTGCTTTCTGCTTTGGCAAGAAGCCAGGTCCTGATCATGTGTTTCACCAGGTCAGTTGAACACTTTAGGGAGCAAGACTGGCTGACAGAATTATTAAAAGCAGCAACACAGGGATATGTTCTTGAAAGAGGCAGCATTTTAGGGAGTTGCAGAGATGAAGTGTGTTTTGCCAGGCCTGTGATGGGGCCGAGGGGTAGCAAGCCCTGCGAGGTGGAGTGAAAGTGCAAAGGGCAGACGATGTGGGGAGGAGAGATAAAACTGGTAATGTAATTCAGGGCCATGGTAAGAAGTACTCTTAGGACTGATTTAGGAGGTTTTGCTATCAAGTTGAGGCAAGGGTTGGTTTTTTCCAAATAGGCTACTGATGTGTAACCTACCTTGGTTTGGGAAAGCTCACTCTTGTGTATGCAGTGTTAAAATACATCCACAGAAACTTGAGGAGTGTAGATTCCGTGTCGTGGGTTTTGCAGAATCATTCTGATTTAGAATATCCTGTCCTGCTGTCTCTGTGGATCAGTAATTTAATCCTGCCCACCCTTGAGATGAAAATATCAATGCTGTCCAAACCTTACCTGCAGAGATTCCCGTTTGGGAGGCTGAGCAGAATCTGATTTTTTTAAAAGGATGCACTTGCAGTACATAATGAATACACTGATTGTGGGTAGCTGGTCCACAGCACATTTTCATTCTTTTTACGACCCCCCCCCCAACACTTTTGGTGTACTTCACATTTGCAAGTTTTATCTCTATTTCCTATTGCCTATATTTTAATTTTACTCTTTGGTTTACTTATACCTCGGGTTTCCTGTGTAAGAGAAAACATGGGATACTTAAGCTTGTGTGTCTAATTTATTTCACTTAATGTTACAGATTCAAGGTACATCCGTTTTACTACAAATGACTCAAATTTATCCTTCCTTACGGTGGTAGTAGTCCACAGGATCTGAGTTGAACCACTTGTAGGTGATTCTGAAACAGACTGAGACTGGAAACCTTCCAAGCTGTATTGAGTTTTGATATTTGATACCATTTTATACTGAAACAAATCAAGATTTTTGCTTCAGAAAGTACTGTTTCATCTGTATGAATAGCCAAAAGAGAAAGATTAAGGCTAGCTTTAGGCAGAGAATAACTGTGACTCCGTGTCATTTGTCATGTTTTTCTCCTAAGTTTATGGGTCAGGAGCCGCCCGCCTAGTTCCTCCTTTCTCTTTCCAGGGCTTTGGCATCACTTGCTAGGAGTCTCACCTCCGTGCCCCCTGGGCCATCATGGCAGTGCACCTGGTGAGGCGCTACTCGTATCTGCTGAGAGAAGCCGCTCGCCTAGCCCCTGCCCTGGCTCCACCTTGCCAGCTGCGATTTGCCAGGGTGGCCCATAATACTTTGACCTCCTCAGCCACCTCCCCCAATTCCTGCTCCCTGAGTTCCTTGAAGGACCTGATGGAAAAGGAGCCGGTGATCACCCCCTTCCCAGAGCAACAAGAGGTGGACCGGCTCATCGAGAAGGCCACCAGGCCAGAGGAGCTGCTCGAGCTGCTAGATGGCGGTCACAGCTTAGAATGCAATCGCTCAGCCACCATCCTCATCCAGCTCTCTCGACTGCTGTCCCAGAACCCACAGGACAAGGCCTTGTTCATACAGGATCTGCGCTTTGAGCAGCTTCTCCATCTGGTCAACAGTGAGGTGGGTGCCGCATGTTTTCTGGGGCTTGATGAGGAGCAGGCAGGTAGACCACCATCTGTGGATGGGAGCCCTGCACCTGTGGCATGTCTGTCTTTCCTGGCAGATTTGAAAGTCCTCACAGGAGCCTTATTAGGTCACTGTTGCTGTCCTCATCTTACCAAAACACACGGTAATAGGTTCAGGAGACAAGGCTGGTTCTTTTCATTTCTTCTGGTGTTTTCCTCCTAGACATATGGCCTTGACTTAGGTTCCCACCCCCGCCCGGCATCTGGCTGCTGGCCGGGTGCTGCTCTTGAGGCTGGAGGAGACGCAGTGTGACCGATGGTTCCCTGGAGCTTGAGCCAAGTGTGGGCAGAATCTGGCCCCATTCAGACCACAGAGCATGAGTGTGGTGAAGAGACTGGCATGTTGGTGTGGCTGAGCTGGGGCAGCGCCTGACTGTGGAAGCCAGTTTCTGCTCGGTGTGAAGAAAGCCCTTCACTCCAGTGCTTTCTTGGGCCCTTCGCCTGGCGAGCTGGCCCTCAGCCCCTGGTCTGCTTTGCGAGGAAGGTGTCAGGCAAGTTAAGGAGGAGGTTGTGCTACATGTTTTTCGAACTGCAGGTTTTAAAATCAGTACTGGGTATTAAACCCAGCGCCTTCACACTGAGCTACATCTCCAGCCCTTTAGTTTCTGAGATAGAGTCTCGCTGAGTCCCTAAATTGCCCAGGCTGGTCTCAAACTTGTAATCCTCCTGTCTCAGCCTCCCAGGGTGATGTGATTACAGGCATGTGTCATTTTGCCTGCCCTGTGCCTCTTTTTTAATGAAGTATAGAGAAGTGTAGAAGACACGTTACTAAAAGGAACCCTGTCTGCTGGAACTTTTATTAGGCTAAGTGCGTGCACATAATCCCGCAGTGTGTGGGGGGTTCAAATCTGCATCTCTTTCTTGCTGAGCCCTAGGTTTGATCCACAGATTGGGGAGAAGAAGAAAGACAGGCTATGGTCAGCAGGGAGGGATTTGGATGCCCATTTTGCCACCTGCTGTCTTCCCTGTGTGTTGTGGAGCTGGGCCACACTGACCTGGTGGGTCTGGCAGCTCCTCGAGACATGGAGCTGCTCCTTGCAGTGCAGCGATGGCGCAGGGGCTGGGACATGGGGCAGCTGGGCACCCACAGGCTCTCCACCCAGAGCTGCTCTGAGATGCAGTGGGGAAAGGTCTCCACCCCTCATATGTGTTCAGTGGAGCTGCCAGCGGATGCCTCGAACATGGGCAGCTCATGTGGGCTGTGCAGGAAGAATGCCTGAGCTGAATGCAGTGGTGCTCACCTGTAACCCCAGCACCCAGAGGCTGACACAGGAGAGTCCCAGGTTCAAGCCCAGCCAGGGCAATTTATCAAGACCCTGTTTCAGAACCTAGAAGAAACAGGGCATGGTGGTGCACGGCTGTAATCCCAGCACTTAGGAGGCGGGAGCAGGAAGATGGAGCAAGTTTGAGGCGAGTCCCAGGTTCAAGCCCACCCAGGGTAATTTATCAAGACCCTGTTTCAGAACCTAAAAGGAACAGGGCATGGTGGTGCACACCTGTAATCCCAGCGCTTAGGAGGCTGGGGCAGGAAGATGGAGCAAGTTTGAGGCCAGCCTGCATTACAAAGCTAGACTCTGTCTCAAAAAAAACTAAAAGTGGGCCAGGGAATTAGCTCAGTGGTTCCGCCGCCTGCCTCGAAAGTGCAAGGTCCCGAGTTCAATCCCTGGTACCAAAAAAAAAAAAAACTGAAAGGATTAGGGCACTGCTCAGTACAGGACCCTGGGTTAAATCCACAACACCAAAACAAAGAAAAAGACACCCAGTACTCAGAGCCAGCTCAGAATGCCACCTGTAAGGGGACTGGGCTTTGACAGGATGTGGCAGTTCTGGGGTGTATTTGCTCACACGTTAGTCTGTCCTGGGAGCATCGGTGTGTCAGGATGGACCTGCCTCTGACAGGGGTCAGGGGTCCCAGCTTTGGGTCGCGCACAGCTGGAGAGAGTGGGTGGTGTGCACTTGAGCCCCGCCCTGCTCCGCAGGCTGCTGTTTCTTCTGCTCGTGGCAGTGGTTGCATTCCTGAGAAACTTTTGCATCACCAAAAACTTAGGATTTGTTTGTTTGGGGGAGCTTCTCAGTTATTTGTCATTTCAAGTAAAAGTCATGAGCAGTGACAGAAACTGCCTTCGGGAAGCCTGAATGCTCCCTTTCCGCCATCGGGTCACAGCCCTGGGCCACCTGCCGCTCTGACCTAGGCTGGCCTGGGCCTGCCCGAGGCTCGGGTCTATACCACGCAGCTGTGCACAGGACCACACTCTCTGGTGCAGCCTCCACAGTCAGCTTCACTGGAGAACCTTGGAGATTTGTTAGCACTCAGGGATCCTGCTTGCAAGCGGTAGCAAACTACCCTGGCCACGCTAAACAGAAACCGTCCCAGAGGCTAGAGGACCAGGCTTGGGAAGCTGTTAGAGAAATGGGCGCTAGCTATTCTCCAGATGCCTGTCGGACAGGCAGCTGCAGCCCAGACGCAGGGTCTCTGAGGTGCCACGTGCAACTGAGCCTTTGTCCTTCCCCCACCCAGCTGTCCTCTGTGTGGCACGGGACGCTTGTGAAGCTGCTGCGGAGCCTGTATGCACTGGAGGTACCCAGGACCACGCAGGCGCTGCGCTCAGTGGAGCAGGAGGTGCGCTGGCGCCTGCGGAGGCTCAAGTACAAGCACTTGGCCTCCCTGGCAGAGGCCTGTGCCACGTCCAGTCAAGGGCAGCACTCCCAGGAGCTGCTGGCCGAGCTCCTTGTGCACCTGGAGAGGCGCTGGACAGAGATCGAGGACAGCCACACAGTGGTGGCCGTCATGATGAAGGCGGGCCACCTCTCAGAGTCGCTGATGACCCGGCTAGAAGACAAGGTACAGAACGAGAACAGCTGGCACTTGGGCTTGTCCGAGGATGAAAGTCCTCTGCAGAAGGGGAATGTGGTGTGCCGGGGCACGGGAATCCAAGACGTGTGGTCCAGAAGTACAGGTGTCACACAGGGAGAGACCAGAGGGCTCCAGGGAGCCTCGGGTGGTCATTCCATGGCACGTCAGTCCCACAGCACCTCAGCTGTGTCCTAGCACTGCTGCCCTGGGTGGCTCCTGGTCTCTCCCAACCCTTTGCCTACACAGTCTTGAGCCGGGCACAGCAGGTGGCTCCTGACATTGGCACAAGTCCCAGCCAGGCCAGTCTCTGTCCAGACAGCTCCCGGAGACGCTGTGTCACGCCCCCCTTGTCCCATCCCTGTTGCCTTCCCCTTCCCAACCCTGCTGTACCCTGCAGTCAAGTCAAATTCGGCCCTCGTCTTGCCATGGCGGAGGCTGGCCCAGATGGCTGCCACAGCAAGCTCCGCTGCTCATGGGCTCTGGGTCCCCACCTGGGACCTAGGGATAAGTTTGGCTGTGGACAAGGCTTTCCCAGCAGGCAGGGAAGCAGGCCCCGCACAGACGGGCTGTGTGGAGTCAGCTCAGGCCCAGTTGCTGTCTCACAGGGGCTGCACTGGATGGGACCCCTGCCCCCAGTTCGTCCCCGCCACCTCGGGCCATCAGCTCACCCCTGCTCGGCTGTGGTTGACAGTGCCTGGAGCTGGTGGATCAGTTTGGCCCCGAAGAGCTACGGAAGGTGCTTGTGACGCTGGCGGCTCGGAGCTGGCGCCCGATACCCTTGCTTCGGGCCATCTCCTACCACCTGGTGCAGAAGCCTTTCCCACTGACAAAAGCCATGCTCCTGGACCTGGCCTATGCCTACGGTGAGTGGCGGGAGCCCAAAGCCCACAGACCTGCAGCCGTGTCAAATTCGGTGTCTGCCTCAAGTGGCAGGCACTGGCCCAGAAGGCTGCCACAGAAACACTGTGGCTCATGGGCCCTGCTCCCCTTGAGTGGGTGCAGGGATAAATTTGGTCACAAACACCGAGCCTGCACCTCAGGCTGGAAAAGGCAGCATGTGACTGCTCCCCTCCCTAGCCGAGCCCTGTGCTCTGCTCCGTCCCAAAGGCAAACTCAGCTTCCACCAGACCCAAGTATGCCAGCGCCTAGCTGCCGACCTGCTGCCCCTCATGCCCAGCTTGACGCCTGGAGAGGTGGCCCGCTGTGCTACATCCTTCGCCTTCCTCAAGTGGCTCAATCTACCCCTGTTTGAGGCCTTTGTCCAGGTGAGCCACTGAATCCCTGGGCACTAGAACTCGTGCTCTGCCTGGCCCCAGCCCAAGGCTGGCTCAGCGGCCTCTTGGGAGCCGTTGCTGTTGTAAGGGAAGCAAAGCCAGTCTGAGAACTCAGTTGTGGGGAGCATATGCAGTTCTTTCTTTCGGGCTTATTTGGAAAGGGGTAGTGGTTTCTTCATTCTTGGGTAGGCAGGGCGGGGAAAGCAGAGGATGTGTCTGGGTGTCCCCACAGAGCTCTCCCCAGCTGCAGGCTGCCCCAGTGGCATCGAGACGTGCACTACAGCTGCTCTAACCCAGGGGCTGAGGGTGTCTCTGAAGTCGCCAGCAGGGAGCTGGTTTCCAGGGCCCCTGTTCTTTGTGAGCAGTTGCTGCTGGGTGGCAAAGGGGAGGACTCACAGGCAGGAGCTCATCCTGTCCCTCTGCCACCCCTGACTGGCCCAGCACATCCTGCACAGAGCCCCGGACATCACCGTGCCCCACCTGTGCAGCATCCTTCTGGCGTTTGCCCGTCTGAACTTCTGTCCAGAGCAAGAGGACCAGTTCTTTGCCCTGGTACGAACCCCAGCCTTCCCATGCCACCATCCTGGAAGCAGCTTGGCCTGCATGAAAGTACGGGGACCAAGGCACCTGGTTTGGGTGGGTGAGCGGCATCCCGGGACAGTTGTAAACAGACACACCTGTCCTGTGGCAGATTCACTGCACGGAGCAGGGCCCTGGGGGTTATGAAGACCTGGGCCTCACAGAGGCTGTGGGCCAGGTTTGATCTCAGGGTCCCCATCGGCTGTGCCTCAAGAGGGCCAGGACTTCCTGTCCCAGTGTCTACTGGGGGGTGCTACCAGAGGGACTTCTGCACATGGGCAGGTAAATGCCCACTCTAGGCAGCCCTCTTTCAGCCTGAAGAAGGTTCCGCAGTGTCACTGCCTGTGGTCTGCCCTCAGGTGTTGCTATCCCTGGGCCACTTGGCTTTCTCAGCATTCCCTGTCCTTGCTCAGGTGCATGAGAGGCTGGGACTGGCGCTGGCGAGCCTGGAGCCAGCCCTGCAGGTGGATGTGGTGTGGGCGCTCTGCGTGCTCCAGCAGGTGCAGGAGGCTGAGCTGCAGGCTGTCCTGGACCCCAGCTTCCACACACAGTTTCTTGGTGAGACCCTCATCCACCCCCACAGCCCAGACAGCCTCCTGCCTAGAGCAGGCAACTGAGTCCAGCAGGGACGAGGGAGGCCACCACCCAGCCCGGGCTTCTCTGTCCCTTCACTCTCCTCACCCCCAGGGGCCAGGTCTCCAAAGGACCAGAACACCTTCCAGAAGCTGCTGCATGTCAACGCCACTGCCCAGCTGGAGCACCCGGAGTACCGGGGCCCCCTCCTGCCAGCCACAGCTGTGGCCCCCACATCCCCTGGCCGGAAGGTGACCCCTCTGCAACAGGAGCTGCGGGAGGCACTGCAGGCAGTGCTGGGGAGCGCTGACCAGGGCAGCCTCGAAGTGGCCACCCAGTACGGCTGGGTGCTAGGTGAGGCCCCCACAGCTGGGACAAGGTTGCTCTGCTCCTGTCTCTGCCCGCCCTGGGCTCTCTAGGGGCGGAACCAACAGGCTCTCACCTTTGCCCTGCCCTTCCCAGATGCCGAGGTGCTGCTGGATGCTGACGGCCAGTTCCTGCCACCGAGGGACTACGCCGCACCTCACCTCGCCCAGCCTGCTTTGAGCCAGCCGTTGCCTCCCGGGGCCAAGAGGTAGGTGGTGAGGCCTGCACCCCTGGGCTGTGCACATGGCGGTGCTGCCTCCCAAGGGCTGCAGAGCAGACGTCTCCTTCCTCCCCCAGGGTCTCGGTCCTGCTCTGGGAGTTCCCCAACTTCAAGAATAAAAGCAGAGACCTGCTGGGCCGCTTCGTCCTGGCCCGGCGGCACTTGCAGGCTGCAGGCTTCCTGCTGGTGGATGTGAGTACCCAGTGGACAGAGAGGGACCCCTGGGCCCCAGCCACACATGGGCTTCACCCCATTGGGTGCATCTGGAAGGCCTCGAGCCCCGTCCAGCTTTGGAGCTGGGCGGGGGGGGGGGGCTGTTCTCAGGAAGGGGGGCTGCAGAGCTGCTCTGGAGCTGAGTCATGCGAGGAGTAAATGTCTGGCTTTAGGGTCTGTATGTGGTTGTCTGTCATGTTTTCTTTTGGCTGATGGTTGGTTTTTCCCAACCCTATAAAATCTAGCACCCGCACTGGCCCTGTGCAGTGCACCGGCCTCAGCACACAGCCCGGCCTCTTGCCACTGCCCCAGTGTGGACCCCAGGGTTGGGGTGCAGAGCTCTCCATTCCAGGGTCAGCATGAGCACAGAGCCAACAGCCAGCCGAGGGCCGGCCACCCGTGGCCCTTGTGACCATCCCCACCACCTCCCTCCAGGTCCCGTACTACGAGTGGCTGGAACTCAAATCTGAATGGCAGAAAAGCGCCTACCTCAAGGACAAGATGCGCAAGGCCGTGGCTGAGGAGCTGGCCAAGTGACGCAGCCCATCCCTTTGGTTTTTTTGGTCCTGGGGATCAAACTCGGGGCTTTGCACTTGCGAGGCAGGTGGTGGAACCAATGAGCTAAATCCCCAGCCCCCATCCCATCCCTTTGGACTGTGTGCTTGGGGCTGACTCCTAGGCCAGCATCGCATGCTGGGTGGCAGGAGGGGTCACCCTTGAGGACAGATCTGCTCGGCACAGGTCCTTGGCCAAGCTGGAGGGTGGCCACCTGCTCCCCACAAAGGACAAGTGGCCTCTCGTGAGTAATCTTTAGTGTTGGTGTCAGCAGTAGGTGGCTTCCCAGGCTTTGTCATACACACACACACAGGCACACACCTGTGTTTCCACCCAGCTCTCCGCTTTGGAAAGTAGCATGGGTGTGCAGGGCTCTGCTGTGTCCTGGCTTTTTCCTGAGGACCCTTCCTGTCACACCTGTGTATCCGCCCTGCTGACCCCCACACCTGCAGAGTAGTGTCCTGGGATTCCGGGCCTGGGAGCCCCCCAAGGCCCCTGGTGACAGGTGGTGAGAGGCCGGGTGGAAACTTGGAAAGCAAAAGCCCACTTGGCCCAGAACCACCTGACCTGATCCCTGTGCCCATCCCAGGGGAGGGAGGAGCACCCCGCAGGAGGAGCAGCAGGGCTAAGCGCCGGGTCTTGGCGCACAGCGAGGCTGAGGGCCTACAGGACACTTGGGGCTGTGTCTGAGGAAATAAAGCCTGATCCTGTGCACTGCTCAGGCCTCTGGGTTTTCTTTTGAGGTAATTGGGTCACTGTGCAATTGCTAACCACGCAAGTGGTTTCTTCATCAGAGGGCTGAGCGCCAGAGTCACCCCAGTGCTGGCAGGGGCAGAAGTCGGGCTGGAGGCCACCTGTCTGCAGCCACCTACAGCTGAGTCTGTGCTGCTGTTCTGTGATCCCAAGACTTGCCTTTATTTAGCCTGGACTCAGAGACACGTTCCCTGGCATGGCCTGGCATCCGCGGGGGCACATCACTCTGCACCCAGCCATTTAGCCACTGGGGGCCAGCTGGGTGCTTTCTGGTTTGGGGCGGTGACTGCTAGAGTGACCACAAAGTCTCCAAGTTCCTGTGAGTTTCCATTCCTCTCAGTTCTCAACTGCCCAGGCCTGTAGGGTTCAGGTGTGGAGGTGTAGAAAGGCCAAAGCTGTTCCCGAGTGTGGAGGGACCATTCTTGCCAGCGTTGGGTGGTGTCGCAGATTTTTAGGTGTTAGTGACCCGCATCTGGAACAATACTGTTTAAAGTTGCAGTTCCCCAGTGATAGGATCCTGGGCATCTTCTCATATCTGATAAATTGATAAAAACCTGCTGTCCCCGCCCTCTGGTGAGGTGTTGAGGCATCTGTGTCTGTCTGTGTTCTGGTTAGGTTAGGTGGTTGGTGTGTTGTGAAGGGGTCACGTGTTCTAGTCCCAGCCCTCTGGGTGTGATTTGCACACACCCTCCCAGGCTATAGCTTGGTTTTCATCCCCTTATTGGGTGCTTGTGCAGAGCACAAGTCTAAACTTTCATGCAATCCAGTGATGTCTCCTGTGGTCAGCTAAACTCTGCCCTGACCCAGGTCCTGAGATTCGTTTTCCTCAGAACGCTAACACGGTTCACATTTGAGTCCATGATCCACTTTGAGGATGCACTGAAGAGTTCTCGTCAAGTGGAGAAACCAAGGGAGTTTTGTCCCTGGGTGTCCAGTTGCTCCTGAGCCCTTAGTCCTGCATGCACCTCAGTGCCAGCACCTTCATGCCCAAATACCCAGTTGGTCTTCACCCCTTAAGTGGCTTTTGTGCTTCTGTGAAAAGCTCAGCATATTTCTGTAGCTCTCAGCTTTTGTGCTATTGCTGTGACATGTGCCCCTCTGGTGACACCACAATATCACATTCTTAATTATTGCTATACAACAAGTCTCTGGCTGGGCATGACAGCACACACCTGTGATCTCAACACTGGGGAGGCTGAAGCAGGAGGATCTCTGCAAGTTTGAGGTCAGCCTGGGCTACATAGTGAATTCAAGGCCAGCCTGAACTGTATAGTGAGACCTGTCTCAAAAAAAAAACAACACTAAAGGACCAGGGATTTAGCTCAGTGGTTCCGGCGCCTGCCCTGCAAGTGCAAGGACCTGAGTTCAATCCCCGTTACCAAAAAAAAATAAAAAAATAAAATGTATGTCATGTTTGCAATATTTAAAATGCTCGGATGGGGCCAGGGATTTAGCTCAGTGGTTCTGCTGCTTGCCTCGCAAGCCCAAGGACCTGAGTTCAATCCCCAATACCAAAAATAAAAAATAAAATGCTCAGGCCGGGGATTTAGCTTAGTGATTCTGCCCTTTGCCTTGCAAGCTCAAGGACCCGAGTTCGATCCCCAGTACCAATAAATAAATAAATAAATGCTCAAATTTCAGTGTGAAAATAAAATGTTACCTCCTCTTAATTTGAAAATACTAAATTATATTGTTTCTAAAATAAAAAAACGAGCAGTGTGAGCTGAATGAGTCTTCCTAAAGACTATTGTAGCCACTCTTAATCCTGTTGCCTGTCCACCATGTCGCTGAAAGTCCTATCCACCAGAACTAGCTGGGGCTTGTAATGGATCAGTTAGAGGAGACTCAGCATCTCCACTGCCTTCACTTCTAATCAGGCGCGTGGTACACGCCTGTCTTTGTTTAGGTCCTGGTTTCCAGTGTTTCGTGGTTTTCATTTTGTTAAATGCATCCATAAGTATTGCATGGTTTTTTTGTTTATTTCTTAAGCTCATCGTTAGTGTATAGAGGGTGGGCTGATCTTGTGTGTGCTCTTGTTGAACTCACTTTATGCATTTGTTTCATTCCCCTAGGCTGCCTGTGACACAGGCCTGGCCTCTGTGCCCCCCCCTTTTTGGTGGTACTAGGGATTGAACCTAGGGATACCCTACTGTTGCATGGCATCACCACCCCTTATTTTCTTTTTCTCTTACCCAGAGTCTCGCTAAGTTGCTCAGCCTGAGCTCAAATTTGTGATCCTCCTGCCTCAGCCTCCTAAGTAGCTGGGATTACAAGGGTGGTCCACTGCACCTGACATTTGTAATAGCTTTATTAAATATTAATATTTAGTAAATGTCAAATTACATGAGATATGTAGACAATGTCGATAATATTAAGTATTGATTAATATGATGCCACTGAAGATGTGTGACTCATTGGTTTTTAGTTTCTTCATGGGTATGTGCAGTCATCACCATGTTCAGTTTTTTTGTTGTTTTTTTGGTTTTTTTGGTACTGGGGATCAAACTCGGGTCCTTGTGCTTGTGCAGCAGGCAGCGAAACCACTGAGCTAAATCCCGGGCCCCAACCATGGTCAGTTTTTAACCCTTTATTACCTCATGAAGAAACTGCCCTTTAGTTACTACTTCCCTGTGCCCTCCCCCTGCCTTAAGCAACCACTAATTTTTTTTTTTTTGAGACACAGTATTGCTGTGTAGTTCAAGCTGGTCTTGAACTCACCATGCAGCCCAAGCTGACCTTGGACTCAGAGCAGCCCTCCTGCCTCAGCCTCCCAAGTGCTTAAATTATAGGTGTGCACCACCACACCACCAACCACTAATCTTCCTGTCTATAGATTTCCCTCTTTGTACTTCTGTGTGAATGAAATTGTACAGGACGTGTTTTTCTACAAATGGCTTCTTTTAGTCAATGTAATATTTACATAGTTCATCTATGTCTTAGCATGTATCAGTGTTCGTTCTTTTTTATGGCCAAATAATACTCCTTTGTGTGGTTTTTATGTTAGCCTTTTGTATCTGGGTTCTGCATCTGTAGATTCACCGACCACAAATGGAGACTACTGGGTGAAAAAGAGACATCTGTCCTGAATGTACAGTTTTTTCTTGTCATTCCCTAAGCCAAACGTTGGTGTTGCGCTTACATTGTACTGGAGGTTACAAGTAATCTAAAGAGAATTCATACAGGGGCATTGCATAGGTTATGTGTGAAGATGCCACTTTAAACAGAGACATGAGTGTCCAGAGAGTTGGTGTCCACAGGAGTCCCAGAGCAGCCCCTGCAGGGACTGAGGGTCATCTTGCCACCTTCAGTGTACCCACTCGGCCATCAGCGGACATAGGGCCATCGCTCTGCAGCTCATGTTAAGTCGTGCTGCTGGGGTATGTGTGCTAGTCTGCATGGACGTGCTTTCCTCTCCTGGATGCACAGCCAGGGGTGGGATTGTCGGGTGTTCTGTATCCTAAGCACAGCACCCAGCTCACACTGTAGCAGCTGCACATGTGGGTCCTGGCCCCAGCTCAGCCCAGCAGCTCTCATCACCGGCTGCTCTGGCCCTGTTAGGATTGTGAAGCGGGGTCTTCCGGGGGCTTTGATTTTCAATGCTCTGATAACCACTGAGTATCTTGTCCTGTCCTTATTGACCAGTTACATAGCTTTTCTTTGGAGAAATCCTATTCAGATCCTTTTCCCGGTTTTTTATTAGTTTTTTGTTGTTTTGTTTTTTGAGACAGGATCTCACTACATAGTTCAGGCTGGCCTTGTACTCACTATGTAGCCCACGCTGTCCTCAAACTTTCAATCTGCCTGCCTCAGCCTCCCGAGTAGCTAGCATTACAGACCTGCACCACCACACCCAACAGCAGAATTTCACTTTCTTCATGGTATTCTTTGAGGCACAAAAGTTTTAAATTTCAGAAAAGTCCCAACTTACTTTTTTCTTGGGTTGCTTGCGCTTTGATTGCCATTTCTGAGAAGCCTTTGGTGAGTCCATGGTCACGAAGATTCAGCCCTGTGTCTTCTACGAGTTTTATAATTTTTGCTCTCATGTTCTGGTCTGTGACCCATTTTGAGCTAATTTTTCTGTATGATACGGAGTGCCACCTTCGTTCACCTGTGTTTTCTGTATGTGCTATCTTGGGGCTTGGCCCTGAGCTGCACGCAGCCCCAGTGTCACCTTCACACGACCGCCACTGCCTCCCTGTGAGCCGCTTGGTGCCTCTGTCGCAGGTCAGCTGCCCGTGAGGTGTGAGTCTCCGGGGCCGGTGGTCTTCGGCATCTGTGTGCCCTTTGCCAGCAGCAGAGTCTCGGTTTCGGTTGCTTTGTAGTAAGCTTTCAAATGGAGACTCGTTGTGCTTGTCTCTCCGGTGGCTCTGGCTACTCTGAGTAGCGAGTTGGTCTCTAGCCGGAAGGGTGGGGTTCTGGGGGGCATCTGGGATCTTCAGGTCTTCGCAGCATTCCCTCTACATTTTGAACTACTTTTGTTATTTATTTTTTCTTATTTTATTTACTTTATCTTTTTATTTTTATTTATTTTGATGGTTCTGGGGATCAAAGCCAGGTACTCACAGATTTACTTGATGGAATACCTTTTCTTAAATTCTGTTTTTTAATATTTATTAGTGTGTATTTACAGTACCTAATTGCACCCATCACAGGGAGTTGGTACATTTACATAACACATTGTAATTCTTTTTACTTCCTTTCTCCCCTGTCAAATTTTGGATTTCTCTTTGCAAGTTGATAGGCATACAGTGGATTTTCATATACTGACTCTGAATCTTGCAGCCTTCCTGAACCGACTTGCTTGGATGTGTCTGTCTGGATCTATTTCCATGTAACCCTACTTTGAGTTCATTGAGCTTCTTAGATGTGTGGATTATTTTTCAGTAAATTAAGGACATTTTCAGCCATTTCTTTTGTGTGTGTGTGTGTGGTACCAGAGATTGAACTCAGGGCCTTGTGGTTGT